GGATTAGCATACTTTTCACATTTTTCCTAAAGTAACTAGAGTTGGGATTTTGAAAATAATGTTCTAGTACTTTCTTTAATATCATTATACTTTTAATGAGAAGTAGTTGTCCTATCAAATCCGTTCTGCTAACGACCCTCCACTAATCAAGGAAGCGGTGGGTGAGAGTGGACACCCATTCAACTACCATTTTATAGGCAGTTTCCTTATACCCCCCTTATAGATTAGCTTCGTGAATGAGGCATACTAGCGATTTGACTGACCATATTCTTATACATATATAATATTAAACTTTTAATTATAATATATATAAGGTGTGTTTTAAAACATTTTAAACTTCAAGGGTTTATAAATTTCGAAATTTAAGCTATTAAATTTAAATTTAAATAAACCAATTAACTAGATTTAATATTTATCTTTTAATTAACTATTAATCAAATTAATAAATCTTGTAAGGATTATCTAATTAAATTAATCCATTAATTTAATCCTAATCCTTATCCCTCTAAATTTCGAAAAATAGGGTAAGGATAATTATCCAATTAATCTAATTAACAATTATCCAAAACAAGAAACCCTAGTTATCCTCTAGCATATTTCAAAATTCACAAGGGAGTAGGCTAGGGTTTTCAAAACCCTAACCCTAATTTCGATTAGGGTTCTTTGGAGGCTAGGGTTTTCGAAAAAAACCTTTGATCCAAAACCCTAGAAATCGCAAATTTGGCCTTTAGGGTTTAATAGCTATAAACCCTAATTTGCAATTCAACAATTGTAGCAATTCAATTTAAAACAACAATGGCTCTGATACCACTGATGGGTTTTAGGTAAAACAAATAAACTAGAAAACAATTCCTAAGTTCACATGCAACCTACTTTGGATCTATGTTTTAACTATTGAACATACAACTTTGAATTGCAAACAAGAACCCTAGAGGAGAGAGGCTAATTTCGAAATTAACAAAATAGGGTTTAAGAGTTACATACCTTTCAATTGTTATAGCAAACAATTGATAATCCTCTTGATCTTGATCTTGATCTTCTTGGAAGCTTAGCACCACAAATGCAATGCCTCTAATGGAATCACACCCAAGAACTAGCAAGAAGGAAACTTGGAGGAGAGAGGATGGAGAGAGTATGCAATTTCGGCCTTAGGGTTTCTTCCAAAGAATCAGTACCCTAAAATGTGAGCCAGGAGGCTCCTTAAATAGTTGAGGGAACTAGGGTTTAGGGAAAACCCTAGTTATCCTTTGCTTAGGGCCTAAGCAAGACCCAAGGCCTTATCTTGGACCCCTTGGACGAATTCTCTAGGGTTTCCCCTAGAGTTTTCGTCCACCCCCTTCCAAGGGAGTTCTGGATCCTTCCACTCAACTATTAGTTAATTGCAAACTAGTCCCTGCACTTTATAATTAATTCTTTTAACCCCAAAATTAATTCTGATTAATTTCTGGCTAACAATTAATTAAACATAATGATTTCTAATTAATATATTAATCCATTAACATATTAATAAATCATTTATATATATATATATATATATATATATATATATATATATATATTAATTATTAATCTTATAAATTAATATCTCTCATTTCATAATTTCCTTGTCCAGTTTCTAGGTTGAGGGCAACCCAAAAGGACTGTGCTGCTATCAATTCAAGTACATACCAATTATAGTTATGGGCTTAGACACCTAATCCAAAAGTAACTTCCTTGCTACGCATATGGGTCCTGTGCTTTCAGTAGTACGGGCCCATACTACCTTCCACACCTACCCATATTTGTCTCAAGTGTCACCACAACACCCTAACAATATACATACACATGGTGGTCGCTCAACCTCACCCCTAGAGGAAGGCTAACTGTCTCATAACTGACCTACCGATCTCACACAACCCACCCATCCATGAACTGCCACACGACCCTCCATTGGTGCCAGTTAACTATTGCGTGAATACAATCACATTCCGCATGGCTTAATCAATCTTAGACTAAAAGATTTAATCCTACAACGGTTGGACTCAGACAAGAGCTGCACAGCAGGGCCAAATCCCTTACCCTAAGACCATTTAACCCATGTAGCATGTGACTTAGAGTACTCACCCAATAGTTAGTTCACACGCGAAAGAGTCATAAACAATCACTAAGGTACTCTACATAAGATAAGGCATCAAAGATCAGGCAATTCTATCATACGATTCCTGAGGATCCCTATCATAGTACTAGCATGTTGTTCTAACATATCACATAATCAAACAATTGCATGGTATTTTGGGGTCTACTTACTGGCTCCGGCTGATCGTACACCTTCCATCCTCCTTTACTTATTTTGAAAACCATTTTAGAAATCATTTTGAAAATCTTTCCTTGATTTGAGACTGGATTCACACAAATGTGTCCTCCAATTCACTCAAACCAAGGCTCTGATACCAACTTGTAACATCCATAAAAATCATGCCAAATTAAAATTTTAAAAACATTTCAAATCTATTAACCATTACAAAACTTGTTTTCAAAATGTATCATATCATAGTATCCAAGAAACAAAGTTATAAAAAGTGAGGAGTTGTACGATCATGCATTTGCCTTGCCACGATCCCCTGATGTACCTGAAACAATAAACTGAAACTGTAAGCCCGAAAACTTAGTGAGTTCCCCCAAAATACCAATACCCAAAACAACACACATATAATCATAAACAGTATACTATGGGTCCAGTCAACCATCAGGTTAGAATACCCCAGGCCCACAACCAACCGGTTGGAATGCCAACATACAATGGGTCCAATCATCCTCGGGATGGAATACCCCAGGCCCACAACCAACAGGTTGGAATGCCCACATACTATGAGTCCAATCATCCTCGGGATGGAATATTCACGGCCCACAACCAACAGGTTGGAATGCTCAGGTCTATTGGCCTCCGCACAAAGGAGATTAGCCTCAACCGCCAAACAAACATGTGCACATATAACAGATAATCACATAACAGTCTATAGACAACACTGATCTAACAGATCATACCACATAGCACATAATACCATCCTATCTACCAGGATACCGATCTAATAGATCATACCACATACTATATAATATTATCCTACCCTTTAGGATACCGATCTAACAGATCCTACTAGCATAACATAACGAGATAACAATCCAAAGGGCCGGCATTGGTGCCTTAGACCCTTGAGTATAGTGAGGATAACTCACCTCGCAACTGACGCGCTGAAGTGATAAGCTCGACTCTCGGATCACCGTCACAAACTCCACCACCTATATTCACCATAGAACCATACTCATAATTTCCAATTTCCCAAAATGCTCCCAGAAGTCAAATAGTCTACCCATAGTCAAAGTCCAAGTCAAAGGTCAAGGTCAACAGTCCATGTTGACCTCAACTCGTCGAGTTCCTTGCATAACTCGTCAACTCGCCGAGTCACATGCATGACTCGTCGAGTTCCTAATGTTTACGGCCGTAAACTCCTTTTCCAACCCGTCGAGTTTCCCTGCAACTCGCCGAGTTCATGCGTGCTAAAAGCCGGGAAAACCCTAACTGACTCGCCGAATCACCCTACTGACTCGCCGAGTTCGCGACAATCTTCATCGGACTCGCCGAGTTCACGACAATCTTCATCGGACTCGCCGAGTTAACCATGCAACTCGTCGAGTCCCTTCAGTCCATTTTCCATTCAGATGCTTTTTAAGCCATCTTAAGGTTCCATATTGTAGATCCAGCTTCCCAAGACATGTTTATCACGTAAAGTTGCAAACTTTACGTGCATGCAAGGCTCTAAAGTCTTATAATGACAAAACCAAGCTTCCAATGGAGTTTTACACTTAAGGAGGGGTTCATACTTGCCAAAGCTGATAGCTTTATGGACTTAGAGACCAAAGAGATTTCAGATCTGAAGTTACAACGTCAGATCTGAGCTCATTCCCAAGAATAGCTTCATAATATGCTAGAAAAGCCCAAATATTTAACCAAATGAGATCTAGAATGAAATGAGGTCAAGGTAACGACTTGATACCTTCCAAAAGATGCCAACTGAGGTAGATATCAGATCCCCACATGTTCCTTGCTTCTAGCCACTTGCTCTCCAAGCTCTCCTTACAAAGATCCTCATTCCAAAGCTTAAAACACACAAGAATGATGCCCACACACGGATTAGGGTTTATGGACTATTAAGAGGTTGTAAGGGGAGGCTAAGGAGGCCAATGATCCTTTAAATAGGGAGCAAAACCCCGGAAATTAGGGTTTCGTCCTCTAGCTCCTACCCGTCGAGTCCATTCTTGGACTCGGCGAGTAGGTCACTTAAACACGTGGACCAACCCGCTGCTACTCGACGAGTCTGGCAACCAACTCGTCAAGTAGACCTTGAAATCATGAGAATTTATAACCATAAATTGATACTCGAGAATCAGGGCGTTACAACTTGATTGAATGATTGTTTTTTTGTTGAGTTTTATCATCATATATATTTTGTTGTAAAATCATATCTCATTTTTGCCGTTGCCTTATTTGATGGTCATTTAGCATGTGTGTATTGTAGGATGTAGAGTATTGGGTATGTCAGCCACGTAACCCATTCTCTTGAGGTATGTTTTTTGTGGGGTGATAGAACAGGGGCACACCAGGTGTTCAACATATGGCATATAAACTAATCTTATAAATGTGTGCATGTTTGTGACAGGAGATTCATTTACTTTGTAACATAAACACACAAGTGAAAATATGTTTATCTTGGTTCAACTCCAACCCATATAGCACCTGCCAAACAGTAACTAAAAAAGATCAAGAAAAGGATAAAAAAAAGAAACTGAAAGGAAACACCATGAGAAAAAGAAAGAAACTGAACGAAACAGGAAAGGGTTCATGGATCGTGCTCAAAGCTTGAGGTTGAGGTCTAACAAAACTTGAAACAGGACACAGGTCAAAGGGTATAACGGTAAATAGCCATAACAACAAGGGAATTGTTGGTGGAAGGTATTTGGATCGAATGAGGGCCAAGTTCTTTCCATATTCAAGAACACTTGGCACTGGTGGTTTTTTGGGAAAGCTACAAATGCAAATGTTGGAAACACAAGAGAACATAGATCGATTTCTTATTCGAATCATTCCCAAAGTACCCCCAACAAGAGAGATTTTGTGCAGAATGATCGTGGATTTGGGAAATCAAATCCACGTCCAGATAATCATAACCATATTCGTCCTGTAAGTTTTCTTGTTACCCATTTTTTTCTCTAACTCTATAAATTAGACAAATTTAAAACACCATATTTGATTTTTCACTATTTTATTAATCTGACATTTATTTTATTTGCAGGCAGTTTTTGAGCCCCAACCTTATCCTCCTCCTAAAAGATCAAATCACTCAAATAATGATGGTTTTACCACCATGAGATGCCCTACAACAAGTAAATCAGGTATTACTCAAAAAGATTTGCTAAAACTTTACAAGTAAAAAAAGTAAACAAATTACTTAATTACATGGACCAATTGTGTAATTATATTCTCAATTCACAAAACAAACAGTAGGAATGGTACATCGACCAATTTAAATTTGAAAACATGCACTAGTTAAAAACAATTAAACGTCACATATAGTTGTATATAATATTCATATATTCTTTTAATATTAATATAAATTGATATCAACGTGAAGAAAGGAGAATATTAAATTTTTTAAATCACCTTATGAAGACAACAAAAAGTATTACCGGAACAAATGGCTTTCATATATATATATTTTTATATCGGGTATTCGGGTATACTCGAACGCCAATAAACATACCTTATACCTGAACTGATATAAAATCGGGTTAACCAAATACCCGGAATCATGATAGGAGAAGCTTCAATGGAAAAGAAACCCATTTGCAGCCTCACAGAGGTTATCCCATGGGTTATCTATGTACTTCCACCTTATTATTATTTATTCATCGACAAATATATTTTGGTGAATAATTAATAGTGTTTATCCTCTTAATTTGTGGATCATACATACTTATAAAGCTAGCATTTTTTCTTGAATCTCATGCATTTGAAACTCCATTTTTTAACTTCCTCAAACCACATTCATTTGAAACCCCCTTTTTTAACTAATGCAACTCAAAAGTTTTCTTAATTATGATTTAACACTCAAAAGTTTTATAACTTATATTATGTTTAATTAGCATTTAGTGAAAAGTTTACTATAAAAGGCCAATCTTTTATGTTATATAAAATCTTACATGTACGAAGGATTTGAAGATATTGTGATTCAAAAGTTTTCATATAGTTGAAGCATTCACGATCCAAATATGATGATTTGAAGAAATGGGTTATGTCTCATCGATGATAATTGTAATATGATTTTTTCTTTCAACCAAAACAAATGAAGCTTTTCTATTCTTTCTATATATTCAGTTTCTCATTTAATCTTTATATGTGATTTGTGTGTATTACTCAATCTTGAATGTGACTCTCCAAACATCAATGTTTTGCTTGGAATATCTTTCTGATTCTTCTTTTTCAAGAAAAATATTTTGATTGCAGGTTAGTGAAGAATTGTCATCAAGTCTCTATGGTTGAATGGTGTTAAATGAAGAAAGAAGATTCATAAAATGGATATAGTTTTTTTTGTTTGAGCAAAGTTGACGAATGTTAGTTTTTTCTTTTCATTTAAATGTATGTTTATGTAACATCTTTATTTATATATTCAACCACCCAATGCTCTTACTTATTTGATTGTAGTTTTTCTATTTTGATTATGTTTATTTTCTATTATTTTTTTGTTGGGTTATCCTACACAACATATTTAAAAGACAATATTTAAAAGATAACATAATTTTGAACATTTGATATGTAATTATGATAGACTTATCATGATATGTTCTTCATATGAAAGTAATTTATTCATATTACTACGACAAGAATTACATATGACATTTACGAATATATATATATATATATATATATATATATATATATATATATATATATATATATATATTATATGTGATTTGTTTAACATGTATATGTACCTATGTATGTTATAAATTTATAATTAAATATCTTTATGTTTAATAATTGAAAGGATAAAAATGATGCATCAAACCAAATTATTTAGACGAATATAATAATAATAATAATAATAATAATAATAATAATAATAATAATAAATTTCCAAGTACCGCATTCATTTGAAACTCACACTACAACTCAAGAGTTTTCTAATTTATGTATATTTATTAGTTACAACTCAAGAGTTTTTTACTTATGATTATTAATTAGTAATCACTAATAACTTTTTATTTTCCTTTCTTTTATAAGGTTGTAAAGTTTTGCTTATAAAAAAACATTAATGTATTTAAAGAGATTTGTGATTTAAATATGAAGAGTTAATATAAATGTTATAATAGATGTTTTAGTGTTTTTATGTTATTAAAAGTTATAGTGTTTATTTTTCAAATTTTTTATTATTCGTTGTATATATATATATATATATATATATATATATATATATATATTTACATACTTATAAAGTTAGCATTTTTTCTTGAATCTCATGCATTTGAAACCCCATTTTTTAACTTCCTCAAACCAAATTCATTTGAAACCCCATTTTTTAACTAATGCAACTCAAAAGTTTTCTTAATTATGATTTAACACTCAAAAGTTTTATAACTTATATTATGTTTAATTAGCATTTAGTGAAAAGTTTACTACAAAAAGGCCAATCGTTTATGTCTTTTGTGTTATATAAAATCTTACATGTAAGAAGGATTTGAAGATATTGTGATTCAAAAGTTTTCATATAGTTGAAGCATTCACGATCCAAATATGATGATTTGAAGAAATGGGTTATGTCTCATCGATGGTAATTGTAATATGATTTTTTCTTTCAACTAAAACAAATGAAGCTTTTCTATTCTTTCTTTATATTCAGTTTCTCATTTAATCTTTATATGTGATTCGTGTGTATTACTCAATCTTGAATGTGACTCTCCAAACATCAATGTTTTGCTTGGAATATCTTTCTTATTCTTCTTTTTCAAGAAAAATATTTTGATTGCAGGTTAGTGAAGAATTATCATCAAGTTTATATGGTTGAATGGTGTTAAATGAAGAAAGAAGATTCATAAAATGGATATAGGTTTTTTTTTGTTTGAGCAAAGTTGACGAATGTTAGTTTTTTCTTTTCATTTAAATGTATGTTTATCTAACATCTTTATTTATATATTCAACCACCCAATGTTCTTACTTATTTGATTGTAGTTTTTCTATTTTGATTATGTTTATTTTCTATTATTTTTTTGTTGGGTTATCCTACACAACATATTTAAAAGACAATATTTAAAAGATAACATAATTTTGAACATTTGATATGTAATTATGATAGACTTATCATGATATGTTCTTCATATGAAAGTAATTTATCCATATTACTACGACAAAAATTACATATAACATTTACGAAAATATATATATTATATGTGATTTGTTTAACATGTATATGTACCTATGTATGTTATAAATTTATAATTAAATATATTTATGTTTAATAATTGAAGGGATTAAAATGATGCATCAAAACCAATTATTTAGACGAATATAATAATAATAATAATAATAAATATACATTTCCAAGTACCGCATTCATTTGAAATTCACACTACAACTCAAGAGTTTTCTAATTTATGTATGTTTATTAGTTAGAACTCAAGAGTTTTTAACTTATGATTATTAATTAGTAATCACGAATAACTTTTTATATTCCTTTCGTTTATAAGATTGTAAAGTTTTGCTCATTAAAAACATTAATGTATTTGAAGAAATTTGTGATTTAAATATGAAGAGTTAATATAAATTTTATAATAGATGTTTTAGTGTTTTTATGTTATTAAAAGTTATAGTGTTTATTTTTCATATTTTTTATTATTCGTTGCATATATACCTTTTTTAATACAAATGTTATAATAGATGTTTTTTCTATTTTTATTTTACTAAAAGTCGCAGTTTATATTTTTGTTCATACATTTTTTTACCCGTTATATTATCATTAATTTGATATATAATTTACACAATTTTAAACGGTTTATAAAATTATCAAATAATTGTATATATCACAATGACTTAAAAATTAAACTATAATCTTTAATAAAACTAATATGTTAACTATATGTTTGCTTTACTACTAACATTTTGTTTCAAAGTAGAAATATTAAATAATAATTTGGTAAAAGTTATTATTTTAACTATATAATTCTATTCTCGCGCAACGCGCGGGGATTCGCCTAGTTAATTACATAAAAGAGTGAGCATCTTTTTAACCTACACTTTATCATGTTTTTACATTTCACTTAGTGTACCCATATCAGTTTAGGTTAACAAAGTGCATCCTGCCACACATATGCACCTGAAGCATAGATAAAGGGATTCAACAATGTGTGGAGGCAACCTTGCTTCCTATATTTCAAGCTTTAGTTACTTATTTTCTCATTTTCATAATCAGGAATTCTTGATACTTTTGATGTTGGTGCATAAGATGCCTTTATTTTTCATAAATAGAGGCCATTTTATTCATTTCACCGATGAAAAAAGTGTTTGTTTTATCAAACTACATGGTATTGTCAAACCCCTCAAACTGCAGGGCAAGGATTGGAATGTGTACATATTTCAAACATTTTTCTGGGGCAAAAAAGGAAATCTTTGTTAGATCTTATAACAGATACCACAAACTAGAAAAATTTTGGTGTTAAATTTGTAAGAGCTTTGTTTATATCCCAACAGTTTTGAAACTTTTATAAATTATGTAAGTCTATGCCATCAATTTTTAATGTAAAATTAACTTCATTATGTAAGAATTTAATATGTATGTGAAATGACAAAGAAACAGCAAAGGTTAACTGCCAATAAATTCGACCATAAAGTGGGGAACTTTATACAAAAAGCAATATTTTACATTGAGGAACACCAGGTAAATTGTGTGTAACATGTGTATATACACAAAAGGGGTTCCTGTAAGAAGAATATAAAGATAAATCTCAACATGTTTCTCATGAAAGTTGTTGCTCCTTACATTAGGTTTCACTTTGAACCCAATAATATACAAGAAAACCATTCCAATATGGAATCAAGGTTGTCAATAATGGATTAAATTCCATGAAAAATTAAGTTCTCAGTCATAGAAACCTTGGAAATGGCTATATTAACTGAATGTTTAACTTTTTTTTGTTTGTATGTTTTAATGCAGGACAAGTGACAGATGCTCCTCAATCAATGCCTGGAATGTTCCATAACATGTTTCCTTTTGGTGCAGCACAGGTCATTCTTCTTGAACATCTTTTTCCTTTTTTTTTTTTTTGCAATTTTTTATCTCTAGTCTGGCAAAAGACTGGAATGCCCTTCTCATTCTTAT